TACACTGCGTAGGTATCAACATCCGTGCACTACGTAGGTATCAGCATCAGTACACTATGTAGGTATCAGCACCAGTACACTACGTAGGTATCAACATCCGTACACTACGTAGGTATCAGCACCAATACACTATGTAGGTATCAGCATCAGTACACTACGTAGGTATCAACATCCGTACACTACGTAGGTATCAGCACCAGTACACTATGTAGGTATCAGCATCAATACACTACGTAGGTATCAGCATCAGTACACTACGTAGGTATCAGCATCAGTACACTATGTAGGTATCAGCACCAATACACTATGTATGTAGGTATCAGTACACTACGTATCAGCATCAAGTACACTATGTAAGTATCAGCATCAGCACCGTAGGTATCAGCATCAGTACACTACGTAGGTATCAGCATCACCAGTACACTACGTAGGTATCAGCATCAGTACACTATCAGCATCGGTACTCGTAGGCATCAGCATCCGTACACTACGTAGGTATCAGCATCAGTACACTACGTAGGTATCAGCATCAGTACACACTACGTAGGTATCAGCACCAGTACACTACGTAGGTATCAGCATCAGTACACTACGTAGGTATCAGTACACTACGTAAGGTATCAGTACACTGCGTAGGCATCAGCATCAGTACACTGCGTAGGTATCAGCATCAGTGCACTGCGTAGATATCAACATCCGTACACTACGTAGGTATCAACATCCGTACACTACGTAGGTATCAACATCCGTACACTACGTATGTATCAGCATGAGTGCACTGCGTGGGTGTCAGCATCAGTACACTACGTAGGTATCAACATCCGTACACTACGTAGGTATCAGCATCAGTACACTACGTAGGTATCAGCATCAGTGCACTACGTAGGTATCAGCATCAGTACACTACGTAGGTATCAGCATCAGTACACTACGTAGGTATCAACATCCGTACACTACGTAGGTATCAGCACCAATACACTATGTAGGTATCAGCATCAGTACACTACGTAGGTATCAGCATCCGTACACTACGTAGGTATCAGCATCAGTACACTGCGTAGGTATCAGCACCAATACACTACGTAGGTATCAGGATCAGTACACTACGTATTTATCAGCATCAGTACACTATGTAGGTATCAGCACCAGTACACTACGTAGGTATCAGCATCAGTACACTACGTAGGTATCAGCATCAGTACACTACGTAGGTATCAGCATCAGTACACTACGTAGGTATCAGCATCAGTACACTACGTAGGTATCAGCATCCGTACACTACGTAGGTATCAGCACCAGTACACTACGTAGGTATCAGCATCCGTACACTACGTATGTATCAGCACCACTACACTATGTAGGTATCAATATCCGTACACTACGTAGGTATCAGCACCAGTACACTACGTAAGTATCATATCAGTACACTACGTAGGTATCAGCATCAGTACACTGCGTATGTATTAGCATCAATGCACTGCGTAGATATCAACATCAGTACACTGCGTAGGTATCAACATTCGTACACTACGTAGATATCAGCATCAGTACACCGCGTATGTATCAAAATCCGTGCACTACGTAGGTATCAGCATGAGTGCACTACGTAGGTGTAAGCATCCGTGCATTACGTAGGTATCAACATCCGTATACTACGTAGGTATCAGCACAGTACACTACGTAGGTATCACCATCAGTACATTACGTAGATATCAGCATCCGTACACTACGTAGGTATCAGCCTCCGTACACTACGTAGGTATCAGGTATCAGCATCAGCATCCAGTACACTACGTAGGTATCAGCATCCAGTACACTACGTATTTATCAGCATCAGTACACACATCGTATCAGCATCAGCACCAGTACACTACGTAGGTATCAGCATCAGTACACTACGTAGGTATCAGGATCAGTACACTACGTAGGTATCAGCACCAAGACACTACGTAGGCATCAGCATCAGCACACTAAGTAAGTATCAGCATCCGTACACTACGTAGGTATTAGCACCAGTAAGCTACGTAGGTATTAATATCCGTACACTACGTATGTATCAACACCAGTACACTACGTAAGTATCAGCACAGTGCACTGCGAAGGTATCAGTACACTGCGTAGATATGTGCATCAGTGCACTACGTAGATATCAACATCCGTACACTACGCAGGTATCAGTACACCGTGTATGTATCAGCATCAGTATACCGCATATGTATCAGCATCAGTGCACTGCGTAGATATCAACATCCGTACACTACATAGGTATCAACATCCGTACACTACGTAGGTATCAACATCCGTGCACTACGTATGTATCAGCATGAGTGCACTGCGTGGGTGTCAGCTTCCGTGCACTACGTAGGTATCAACATCCGTACACTACGTAGGTATCAGCACCAATACACTATGTAGGTATCAGCATCAGTACACTGCGTAGGTATCAACATCAGTGCACTACGTAGGTATCAGCACAATATCGCCATGCACACTATGTAGGTATCAGCATCAGTACACTCAGGTATCAACATCCGTACACTACGCAGGTATCAACATCCGTACACTACGTAGGTATCAGCATCCGTACACTACGTAGGTATCAGCATCGTGTACACTGCGTAGGTATCAGCATCAGTACACTACGTAGGTATCAGCATCCGTACACTATGTAGGTATCGGCACCAGTACACTGCGTAGGTATCAGCATCAGTACACTCGTATTTATCAACACCATGTAGGTATCAGCATCAGTACACTACGTAGGTATCAGCATCAATACACTATGTAGGTATCAGCATCAGTACACTACGTATGTATCAGCATCAGTACACTACGTAGGTATCAGCATCAGCACACTACGTAGGCATCAGCATCCGTACACTACGTAGGTATCAGCACCACTACACTACGTAGGTATCAATATCCGTACACTACGTATGTATCAGCACCACTACACTACGTAGGTATCAATATCCGTACACAACGTATGTATCAGCACCACTACACTACGTAGGTATCAATATCCGTACACTACGTAGGTATCAGCACCAGTACACTACGTAAGTATCACATCAGTACACTGCGTATGTATTAGCATCAATGCACTGCGTAGATATCAACATCAGTACACCGCGTATGTATCAAAATCCGTGCACTACGTAGGTATCAGCATGAGTGCACTACGTAGGTGTAAGCATCCGTGCATTACGTAGGTATCAACATCCGTATACTACGTAGGTATCAGCACAGTACACTACGTAGGTATCAGCATCAGTACATTGCGTAGATATCAGCGCCAGTACACTACGTAGGTATCAACATCCGTACACTACGTAGATATCAACATCCGTGCACTACGTAGGTATCAGCATGAGTGCACTGCGTGGGTGTCAGCACCAGTACACTACGTAGGTATCAACATCCGTGCACTACGTATAGGTAGATTGATCTTTGTAAAATTTGACAGGTAAATGTGAAATTAACTCATAATTTCAGTTCAATTTCCCGACCACTATTTAACTTATGACATCACATTTATCAACTTACGTATTAGGGTTCCACAATGCACAATTCCACAGGCCGCCACGTTAAAGGAGTTTACCGCACTGTACATGTATACGTTGATGAAATTGTTGCCATTCTATAAATAAACAACGGAAAATTAAACAGAAATTATATGTGATGTAGGTAAGATGATTCCTCACAAATGTGCAAAAGTGGACTTGAATCTTACGAAAATTAAGTTCATGAAAATTATTTTGTCAGTCTATGGAAATTACATCAAGTGTCCGAATATAACTGGCACGAGTCTGTAGCTGTTGTAAGCTCGGCACGTGTCGATATATAGCTGTTGTGAGCTCGGCACGTGTCGATATATAGCTGTTGTGAGCTCGGCACGTGTCGTAATAGCTGTTGTGAGATCGACGCGTGTCTATATATTGCTGTTGTGAGCTCGGTGCGTAATGTTATAGCTGTTATGAGCTCGACACATAAATTTAAAGTTATAGCTGTTGTGAGCTCGGCACATAATGTTATATAGCTGTTGTGCGCTCGACACGTAAATTAATTTTATAGCTGTTGTGAGCTCGGCACGCACTAATATTGCTGTTGTGAGATCGACGCGTGTCAGTATACAGCTGTTGTGAGCTCGGCACGTGTCGTTATAGCTGTTGTTAACTCGGCACGTAATGTTATAGCTGTTGTTGACTCGGCACGTACCAATATAGCTGTTGTGAGCTAGACGCGTGTCAATATACAGCTGTTGTGAGCTCGGCACGTACCAATATAGCTGTTGTGAGCTCAACGCGTGTCAACATACAGCTGTTGTGAGCTTGACACGTGTCGTTACAGCTGTTGTGACCTTGGTACGTGTCGTTACAGCTGTTGTGAGCTTGGTACGTGTCGTTACAGCTGTTGTGAGCTTGGTACGTGTCGTTATAGCTGTTGTGACCTTGGTACGTGTCGTTATAGCTGTTGTGAGCTCGACGCGTGTTAATATACAGCTGTTGTTAGCTCGACACGTGTCGTTATAGCTGTTGTGAGCTTGGTACGTGTCGTTATAGCTGTTTTGAGCTCGGCACGTACCAATATGGCTGCTGTGAGCTCAGCACGTGTCGTAATAGCTGTTGTGAGATCGATGCGTGTCGATATATTGCTGTTGTGAGCTCGGCGCGTACCAATATTGCTGCTGTGAGCTCGGCACGTGTCGTAATAGCTGTTGTGAGATCGATGCGTGTTGATATATGGCTGTTGTGAGCTCGGCACGTACCAATATTGCTGTTGTGAGCTCGGCACGTGTCGTAATAGGTGTTGTGAGTTTGATGCGTGTCGATATATTGCTGTTGTGAGCTCGGCACGTAATGTTATAGCTGTTGTGAGATCGACGCGTGTCAATATACAGCTGTTGTGAGCTTGACACGTGTCGTTATAGCTGTTGTGAGCTCGGCACATAATGTTATAGCTGTTGTGAGCTCGGCACCTGTCGTAATAGCTGTTGTGAGCTAGACGCGTGTCGTAATAGCTGTTGTGAGATCGGCACGTGTCGTAATAGCTTTTGTGAGCTCGACGCGTGTCGATATATAGCTGTTGTGAGCTTGGTACGTGTCGTTATAGCTGTTGTGGGCTTGGTACGTGTCGTTATAGCTGCTGTGGGCTTGGTACGTGTCGTTATTGCTGTTGTGAGCTTGGTACGTGTCGTTATAGCTGCTGTGGGCTTGGTACGTGTCGTTATAGCTGCTGTGGGCTTGGTACGTGTCGTTACAGCTGTTGTGGGCTTGGTACGTGTCGTTATAGCTGCTGTGGGCTTGGTACGTGTCGTTATAGCTGCTGTGGGCTTGGTACGTGTCGTTACAGCTGTTGTGAGCTTGGTACGTGTCGTTATAGCTGCCGTGGGCTGCGTGTGCTGGTGAGCTTGGTACGTGTCGTTATAGCTGCTGTGGGCTTGGTGTGTCGTTATTGCTGCTTGGCTTGGTACGTGTCGTTATAGCTGCTGTGGGCTTGGTACGTGTCGTTATAGCTGCTGTGGGCTTGGTACGTGTCGTTATAGCTGTTGTGAGCTTGGTACGTGTCGTTATAGCTGCTGTGGGCTTGGTACGTGTCGTTATTGCTGTTGTGAGCTTGGTACGTGTCGTTATATAGCTTGGTTGTCGTTATAGCTGCTGTGGCTTACGTGTCGTTATAGCTGTTGTGAGCTTGGTACGTGTCGTTATAGCTGTTGTGGGCTTGGTACGTGTCGTTATAGCTGTTGTGAGCTTGGTACGTGTCGTTATAGCTGTTGTGAGCTTGGTACGTGTCGTTATAGCTGTTGTGAGCTTGGTACGTGTCGTTATAGCTGTTGTGAGCTTGGTACGTGTCGTTATAGCTGTTGTGAGCTTGGTACGTGTCGTTATAGCTGTTGTGAGCTTGGTACGTGTCGTTATAGCTGTTGTGAGCTTGGTACGTGTCGTTATAGCTGTTGTGAGCTTGGTACGTGTCGTTATAGCTGTTGTGAGCTCGGCACGTAATGCTATAGCTGTTTTGAGATCGACGCGTGTCGATATATTGGTGTTATGAGCTCGGCACGTAATGTATAGCTATTGTGAGCTCGGCACGTGTCGTTATAGGTGTTGTGAGCTCGACACGTGTCGATACATAGCTATTGTCAATACCTCCCAGACGAACACGTCTGATACACGGGCGGCGGGGTAGCCTAGTGGTTAAAGCGTCCGCTTGTCACGCCGAAGACCCGGGTTCGATTCCCAACATGGGTACAATGTGTGAAACCGTGATATTGCTGGAATATTGCTAAGAACGGCATACAACTATACTCACTCACATCTGATAGACGAACATAATAATCAGAAAAAATGCGTTGTACAAAATTTGTCCATCTGAAATCGTAAGCGTGTAGAGGAGTATAACCAGAAGACGTATATACGTCTTTGATGTAGCTAAAACACATGCTCTTGAAGACGACACAGAATAAGTATGATAGTCAGTATCTGTAAAAGTCTAAAGTGTGAATATAAAAACACTCTGTATATATGTGCATCAGTACATTCTGTGAGTATGACCATCTGTACACACCCCAGGTTTGTTTGTTTGTTTGTTGTGTAGCACCACGCTCAGCAGCATTCCACTAGTATACTAGTATAACGGTGATCTGTAAATAATCGAGTTTGAGCCACACGATCAAGTGATTGAAGTCATGAGCATCTCTTCATGGCTCAGCACGAAATACATACACTGGATGTAAACCGCTGTATCAAATTATCAAATTCGAAATTATGTATTATATGGTGCTTTCTTCACATATTAAAAACATCCTACAGATTGTATATGACAGGATTTTATTGATTCAGAATATTTTCAATAACATTATTTATGCCTAACATTTTAGGAGCTTGAGTGTGTATAAATTTACATACCCGTGTCAACTAGTTTTATATACATAACGAGCACTACTTACATACAACTAATTACCATTGTTGGTCATAAATATTTATAGGTAAATGTGCGCTCAACGTGTTAGATATGTATATTTAGGGGCGGTGGGGTAGCCTAGTGGTTCAAGTGTTCCCTCGTCACGCTGAAAACCCGGGTTTGATACCCCACATGGGTACAATGTGTGAAGCCCATTTATTGATGTCCCCCGTCGTGATATTGTTGTAAGATTTCTAAAAGCGGCGTAAAACTAAACTCACGCAGATATATGTATATTTATGCACACAACACGCACGTGTCATTCGAACTAAAAAGGTTTAAGGTATGTAATGATAAAACTTGTGCGAATTTCTATACGGATGTTTCCCTAAAAACATGTTAATGAATTTGATGTTTAGATTTTTCGATTTAAGGTCTTTATCCATGCGTGATTCTTTAAACATTACAGGCAACAAATTTATAGATGACGACTTAAATCTATACTCTATTAAAATGCAACGTTTCGGTATAGATCCTCATAGCATGATCAATCAAGGGTGCGCATGATTAATTACGCATGTGATTCATTAAAGATAGATCATACATGCGGATTAGCATGTTCTCTTTAAAAATATATTTATTTGGAATTTCTTTCGTTTCTTCATCCAAGGTATAAATTTGATTTTATTATTGATAGTCAGTGGTAATTCATTGCTAATGTAGACATAAGGATAGTCCAAATATGGTTCAATTATTATTCTTTTAGTTCTAAGTTACTTAATAATGTACCGTTTTAATCATACAAGCTCTTATTTCAAACCTCCTTAAATAAATACATGCAAAATTACACTAAATCAACAAAAACATTAAAATTCAGCTCAGTTTTATAAATATACATTCAATACCGCTACCCTTACATAATAATTCCTCATTATTTATGAAATATTACAAATACAAAAGGTGGGCAATTAAATTATTTTGGAACGATTAGTATTATTTTTTAAATGTTACTGATAACATAGAATAAAATAGTTCACTATAACAGCTTTCATAACAAATTCACCGCCTCATTTAATTATTTTACTGACAATTTTCTGTTAGTACGGACAGTACCAGAGCCGCTGTCTCCCAGAAGCTTTGACGCGAAAGGTTTGAGAGTATTTTTATTGCCTTCCCATAATTCTTAATCGTAGCGTTTCGGAATATTCCGTTATGTGAGGTTATGGTTCCGAAAATGAGCTCAAGGTGCAACGTGACCTCGTTTGGCCAATGAGATTGGCCAATTTCTGAATAATTAATTTCCGGTAAAGCTATCCCTGTTCGGGAATGTTCGGCGTGTGCTGTCACAAGCGTAAAACTTTTCATCAACAGCCGCCATCTTAGGTGTTCCTGATCGGAAAAATCGACAGATTTCCATCAAAAAATCTTATTTTTGAAGGAATTTTGTTCGACTTTTATCCTTTGAGGAGGTCTTTAGGATTCTAAGGGAGGCTTTAAGATCAAGAATGGCTGTCCGTAAGGTAACTTCGCCGGGTTTTTGAAGCGAAAAGTTGAATCGTTCGCGGCTTTGTGCTCACAATCATGGAGTAACACGGTTATCGGGAATTCCTGATGAGTGTTATTTGGATATCTGTCGAAGATATGGGAAGAATTAAAGACTGGAAGACATTTTGTATTATAATGAAGCCTAACTGAGGCTAAAACTCTTCGAAGAATCGGAAGAAGTCGTGCTGTTCCGCTAATTTTTGGAAGCTACCTCCAAAAACATGGCTGACCAGCTTGTGGATGGGCCCCCAGCGGCCAAGCGACAGAAGATTGCCTCGCCGACACTCACGCCCAGTGACAGTGGAGGTATGTTGCATTTGTTGCAAAAATAACGGAACACTACTACTTGTTACGAATTTAAAGTATGGAATAGGCATATGCGCAATTGTTCAATGCGATAATTTTATGCGTAAAATGTTGTTAATTTTCATGTTGACAGTCGGCCCCCGTGCATCGTGTAAAATTGCATTTTTAGCTCGGTGCAGGGAAAATTTTAGCTCAGGTGAGAGCGCCGACTGTTTCGTAAAATTCTTGCTTTGTTGTTGTATGCATTTCCTTCCTCTTTGTCCACTTAAAATGGTTATGTAGAAAATTTGCAAGTCCGTCCTAGTTAGCATTAATTTTCTACATAGCCACAGTAGGCTTAGGCATCGTTTTTGACAGATTGAGTTCCACGAAGAACTCCGCGTTTCTTTTCAAAATCAAAGTGCAAGATATATTTTCCAACTGATTTCTTGTCGTATTCATCTTTATGGAAACGTTTAGCACTGGATGCATGTGTTCCAACGTCAGTGCACATTTACCAAGACCATTTTAAATCTGTATTTCAAACGTCTCGTAGGTTATCATTTGTGTTTGATATTTGATTCCACGTCGGATTGGGGGTTCTAGAAATATCTTTACCAATTTCATTCTCATATGTAGTCAAGAGTCTTAATAAATGAATATATGTTAGTAGCACTAAGGAGCTAGTTATAGTAGACCTCGTATTTGTTAGTTCCTTGTTTGGTACAGTGGTGGAGGTGATTTTGTCTAATGATCAGGCATGATGTTATGAATACTACTCTTTACTGAGGTTCATTTAGTAGGTTTATGAAGCCTGTTATAACAACTTTTTCAAGCCAAAAGTGAAGTAGGAAGTAGAATTTATGTAGTTGTCTTTCCCTTGTTCAATTATGTTATGATCCATGCTCAGAAACAAAACAGGCACAGTACATCTACAGCCAAAGCAAAACTACAAATAGTTTCCCAGGACATGGAACATAATGAAAATGTTTAAGATGTTCATTAATTAATCTTTGTATGGACATTCTAGTTGGTATTGAGATTTATCAAGTATCTGAAACCAAGTGCTATATTGGTCAGCACATGAAGGGGACAAGTCATGATATATTTAAGATTTTTTACTTGTTTGAATGTTGTTACTTTCATTTAATCTGGGAAGTATTTTTTTCGAATTGGGAATTCTTACTTGTCATTTTTGTGCCATGAAACCACCCTGAGACATCATATGATTTTATTTTGAAAGGTGTAGTTATTGAGGTCCATAAACTGACACATTATGAAAATATCAATCTGCTAAACTGAACGATATAATTCTCTGGTCAAGGGGTTTATGTGTAAATGTATGTGTAGTTAACATGTAGTGTAGACATGTGTAGGGTCCATTTTTAAGTAAATCCTTGTGAATAATTTGTAGTTACTAAATATTAAGGTCTCTTGGTTCTGAAATGTTCAGCATTAGCACATTCTTATACATACTGTATATTACATGTTTTTTCTTTCAGAATTTACCTTGGATAACTTGCTGAATATTGCCAATGCACTCCCTGATGAACTGGTTGCTACAAGTGATAATAATAACCCTGGTACTCTCGATACTCCAAGTTTAGAGACCACTTCACAAAATCAACTTTCCCAACTCTTGTCAAGTTCCACTCCAACCCCACAACCAAGTGTCTCCTCTATTATAAACAGTATTGCTGCAAGTCCGCAGAATCAAAATGCAGGGCCTGCAGGTAGAAGTCCTGGTGTTGGAACTATGGCTAATGCCAATGTGAATGCAGTGAAGAGTCCCCATACAAACAATATGTCCCCAGTTCATGGTGCAGTTGGTAAAAGTGGGCCAATGAATCCACAGAACATGATGAGTATGTCAGACTCTAATTTGCAAAATAGTGGGTTTTCTCTTGTGTCAAGTGCAGGAGGGACAGTGAAGCCAATGACTTCTCAGCTTCTATCTGTCAGTAATGTTAACATGAGTCAACATAATCCAAATCAGCTGATGAATGGACCACACTACTCTACAAGTGGTATGGGACAAGCTAGAAATGTACCATCTAGCAGTATTGGTAATGCCAATGCAATATCCATGCAACAAGGCCCTGGGAATGTGATGGGGCAGTCTTTGAACATGTCTCCGTTGCCTGGTCATCAAAACATGGGACACCCAGGGCTTGGTTCGTCTGCAGCTCAGCAGCAGTTGGTCAAGGTATGTAACACATTTGAGATTCTGCTTTGCACCATATCAGCTCACTTCAATATTCACTTAGATGGAGGAGTAGTCATAGATATTCTTCTTTGGTAGTTGGATGGTACCTGTAGAACCATTTGTCATTTATAAATCCTGTTTCTTGTCATCTTTCACAGGATGCACACTATTATATTTTTGCCTCTCATAGTGAGGACCACTCTGTCTTTGCACTGTAGTCCATAACCTGCCATTGCTCTTTTTATTGTTTGATATCAGTGTGTGCACCAATCAGTAAGCTTCTCTGTATCTTTCTTGGTTCTCTGCTCACAAATCATCCTAAAATGTAAGATACTCGCTACATGTAGTTCCTTGATGCTTTTCAGCAAAAGAAATTAAAAAGCCCATGAATTATCCATAAATGTAAATCATTCACACAACAGAAAATAAGATGATTGGGCATTTTGACAGTGAGGATGCAAGTTATTACAGGCAGGGACCACGATGCAGTGTTATGTTTGTAGGAATGTTACGGATAATAATGTTTTTAACCCAATGAGGAAATCAATCAGTTCATATCCTAGTAGTTACCTGGGGTAAGGGACTTGTGAAGCTTGTAATTTTGTCAATAAACCAGCTATCAACAGTGAGATTAAGTTAACAGGTATTGAAATTGCAAGTGAAATTGGAATCTTTACAATTCAAGAATACTACCTTCGAGCTTGGGTCCAGATAAGTAGTTTTCAAAATGCACTGGAGAGAATCTGGCCTTTTCAGAAAAAAACTACTTTGTATTTACTAAGAGTACATTAGACTTTGTGAATGCACAGTGAAAAACATTGCCTTTAATTAATTTTGCTACAAGTCAGTTGCATGAGTATAGTGAAAATATTTGGACAAGTAAGCTCTGTTAACAATACTCAACATACGACTGAAGTCTACTTAAAATTGTACAAAGTCACATTTAAATTCACCAAGGAAAAAAGCAGAGCAGCTTTCTAATGCAATATCTACTTATAAGTAGGTCCATCTCATGTTGAAAAAAGCCCCTGGTTCAACTAACATATTCACTGCAGAGGACAATATTTTTGTCCAGTGGTTCTTCCTGTCAGTTGCCTTTGATTTCTAGCTGGTACTATGGAATCAAAGTGTCAACAACTTGTTACTCATACTAATAATAAGTCATTCGTTTGGTTCAATTTGAAATTCTTACTTTACAAGTATGATGTCATCAAAATGGCCATTCAGATGATAACATAAAATTTACAGGGCCTCTTTTCACAGAGCACTAAGGTGATCGTAAGTCACTAAGGTAACCTTAGTGCAATGTTAAAGAATGGGAGTTAAGGTTAACCTTAGTTAAGGTTGCTTCGTGAAAGGAGCCCCTGGTCTTCAAATGATGAAGTTATCCCTTCCATTGACATCTAATAACCTGCATGGTCAGGTGTCCTTCCTTAACCTTTCAAAGAGTAAATTCCCTTGAAAACAAGAACTGTTTGGTTGGTCTCAGTATTTTAAGATCCTGTTTCAAAATACTCACTGGATCTACTGAAACAAATCACTTTTGCAGATTTCATATAGGCATACCAAAATACTTAAAGGAAGGTGAATACAACAAATCCATCTGGTTCCATGACAGAAAAACACTGTTAAAAACAATCTGTCATACCCTCAGTAACTAACCGTTTTCCTGACCACAACAGTGTGCAGTATTCACCAATATGGCACTAAATTGTCATTGGTTGACTGAGCAAGATTTCACATAATTATCATGATGAAAAATCAATAACTTGCAGAATTCTAAGTGGTGTTCATATTCCTAGTCCCTCATTCACCGACCCACATTGCAATGTTGGTACTTTCTACATGGATGTTAAAGTCAAGTCCTAAAAGAACCATGCTGACATTCATCAACTGTTGTTATCCGGATGCTATTGTTTATGAATGCAGTGTTCATTAGTTTCTTATTCACTCAATTAATATCCAGTGACCCAGTTTCAAATTTTCAGAATTAAGATAGTTTTGGAGTCATGGGTAAAAATGATACATTTTGTTTAGAAATAAAGCTTGAAAGTTAATCGATCCTTGTCATAACCATTAATGATATCACTTGCAAAGTTCAAGGATCCTTTGATTCAAATACGTTTATGGGATCAAACATTCAAGAATCCGTTATGTTAGGTTTATGACCAATATTATTGGTAATGAAAAATCTGCTCATGGTAAAAGGTTTTCTAAAGTAAATGAATTACATGCAGGAGATATTCACAGAAGTCATATGCATAAGTTAAGAATTGTTGACAAATATGAAAATTAAACAAATAAGGATCTGAATGAAAACAGTCATCTGAAAAATGTTTATG